TCCGGTGGGCCGTGGTATTGCTATGCTGCGTGCGCCTGGGTCTGTTGCTGGTAACGCAACTGGTGGCATTCTGCTGTGGGCTGCAGTCGTGTCCTTAATGCAGGTCGGAAGGACGTCGGCCTTGCAGCTCGGAACGTCGGCGTAGTCAGGCCGTCTTCCTGCTTTGGTATTTCTACGTTGTGCAATGCGCATGGGCTCCCAATGTTATTCCGTTTCCTCGTCGCTCAATGGCTCAACTGGAATGAACCATGGCGCCGCGCATGATACCGTGGCTTGGAGATGCTTGACGAGCCGCGGCTAGGTCTGGCACTGGTAGCTGCACTTCTAGCATATCGCTCCACTTGCCCATATCGTAGGATGCGTGCCGCTTTTGCGGCACACGAATCTCTTAATTGAGGCGGTGGTGGCGGCATGGCCGGGAGTGCTGGCATGTCGTCAGTGTTCTGGTATGGCTCGAGAGCGTGGTACCACTGCTCTTGGTGCGATTGGTCGGCTTGCCGCCGTAGATATCGTGAAACCGCTGTCTTGGCGGCGGCCTTGAATAGGATTGGGCCATTCCTTGCTGCTTGACATACTTCGTACAGGTCGGTTGATTGAGTTGAGTGCTCCGCGTTGTCCACGTAGCTATACATTCGTTGTACATCGCCTTTGACCTCGTTCGCCCAGCTTGCCTCGGTGTGAAGGTCCTGATCGATGAACCCCACGAATATTATGGGTCCAAGTAGCAGGAGTCACGGTAAGTTGCGTCGTCTGCGTGCGCGTTTTGCCTCTGTCGGGGGCAATCGCCTGGCGGCCGCCAGCACCTTAAGGTTGGACGCTTGCGCGTTGTTGATGCCAGTCTCGTGGTGACTTGTTGTTTGTCGGTATATGTTAATGCATTTCACGGCGTTGTTTGTGTGATCGGAATCAGTGAGGTTGCTCTAAGCGTGGTCGTTGTAGCTCAAGGTGGGTATCACAAGGAGTCATTGTAGAGGACTGCTTTATACATTGGTATGTTGCTTCGTCAGAAGATCAGCTTGCTTCTGTATCGGGCCCCTACTGATCATGGACTTGAGGATCCATTTCTTGATCCCTGGTCCCATTCTCGCGGATCAAGTAAGAAGTTCCGTCTGGGCGTCAATGAACTCGGCTGTCTGGTCGCTGCGGGTGTTCTGCATGCATGTCGCCCCCTCCTTGGCCATGTTTTCCTTCGTCGTTCTTGATCCGCTTGCGAAAAGTCTCAGCGTGATCTCTGTCTCCTTCAGATTGAGTAGCATTCCATGTCCCCGGACCCTTGCTTCCACAATCGCGAGCAATGTGGCCTCAGTTTGCGTAATTGGCTTGTGGTGGCGCATGCTGTGAGGTCGTCCACGTCGGAGGGGTCGGTCCGCCGTCGTGACCTCGAGTTGGCTCGCGCCCCTGTGCGAAGGTAGGTCGTTCTTTGTTATCGCAGTCGATGTCGTAATGAATGCCTGGTCTATCATATCTGTGGATATGGCTTTCGTAATCCTCGAGAAAGAAAAGGCTCCACGGGAGCAGCTGGTGGTGAACGCAGTCGTAGGGGGCTCAGAAGAGCGGGGCGACGGGCACCACACACACACAGACATGCACACAGACATGCACACACGCACACACACACACACACACATACACTCTCTCGCTTTCTCTCCCTCTCTCTCTCGCGCACTCAAATACCTTCTCCGCCTCCCTCGTCCTCCTCCTCCTCCTCAGCCTCTTCCTCCTCGTCCTCCTCTTCCTCCTCCTCCTCTCGAACCGCCCCCCCCCGTTTGGGGTTTCCCTCGGGGCCCGGTGGGTGCCTTCCCCCCTGCAGGGGCCCCGCTTATTGACATTGACATAATGGGATGGTCACGCGGCCTCTGCGCCGTCGCAAGAATGATTACTTACGATCGGAGGTTGGGGGTGAGATCGCAGCGAAACGGAACCCCCCCACCAGGAAATCGAATTCGGTTTCGTGTTCGTGTCGTGCGTGCGGGCGAGCTAGGCCGAAGTAGGAGCGAAAATCCGTCGCCCGTCCGCCGGTGGCCGGTTGGGCCGGGCGGTGTCAGGGGTGTCCCGGGTGTCAGCGAAAGTCCGTCGCCCGTCCGCCGGTGGCCAGTTGGGGCGGGCGGTGTCCCGGGTGTCACTAAAAGTCCGTTTCCCGTCCGCCTGTGGCCGGGAGGTGTCCCAGTTGGGCCGGGCGGTGTCCTGGGTACCCCGGACGTCCCAGGCGTCCCGGCGCTAACGCATGTCGCTAATGTCATAATTCATGTTTGTCGGCGCCTGCGGCGAGCTTTCTTATCCAATCCAGCTTATCTTATCCAATCCATTTTGTCCAATCCAACCCATCTTATCTTATCCAGCCCATATTGTCCTATCTTATCTTATCCCACCCAATCGAATCCATCCAACCCAATCCATCAAGTCATTCGTTTCTGCGTCTGCGGCGGGCCAATCCAATCCATCTTATCTTATCCAATACATATCTTCCAATCCAACCCATCTTCGGAGGTTGGGGGGTGAGATCGCAGTGAAACGGAGACCCCCCACCGGGAAATTGGTTTCGGTTTCGTGTTCGTGTCGTGCGTGCGGGCGAGGCGAAGCTGCGCGTGATCCTCCTGTAGATAGGCCTAGGAGCGAAACTCCGTCCGCCCGTCCGCCAGTTTGGACCGGGCGGTGTCCCGGGTGTCCCGGGCGTCCTTTCCCTTCCGCCGGTGGCCAGTTGGGCCGGGCGTTGTCCTGGGTGTCCCGGGTGTCCCGGGCGTCCTGGTATCGATATTGAGATCGATGTGGTGCCCCGAGGTGTCCTGTGGTGTCCCGTGGTGTCCCAAAAATTATCCCAGTGCGACCCTACCTAGGAGTTGGAGCCCTTGGGAAAGCAGCATTAGTAGTAACAGTAAAGCTAAGCTAAGGCTAAGCTAAAGCTAAGCTAAAGCTAAGCTACAGTTAAGCTACAGCTAAGCTAAAGCTAAGCTAAAGCTAAGCTAAAGCTACGCTAAAACTAAGCTGAAGCTAAGCTAAAGCTAAGCTAAAGCTAAGCTAAAGCTGTACTAAAGCTAAGCTCAAGCTAAGCTAATGCTAAGCTAAAGCTGAGGTAAAGTTGAGCTAAAGCTAAGCTACAGCTAAGCTAAAGCTAAGCAGAAGCTAAGGTAACACTAAGCTAAAGCTAAGCTAAAGCTAAGCTGAAGCTAAGCTGAAGCTAAGCTAAGTTAAAGCTAAGCTGAAGCTAAGCTAAGCTAAAGCTAAACTGAAGCTAAGCTGAAGCTAAATTAAGCTAAGCTAAAGCTAGGTTAAGCTAAGCTAAAGCTAAGATAAAGGTAAGTTAGAGCTAAGCTAAAGCTAAAGCTAAAGCTAAAGTTGAAGTTAAAGCTAAGCTAAATATAAGCTAAAGCTAAACTAAAGCTAAGCGAAAGCTAAGCTAAAGCTAAGCTAAAGCTAGGCGAAAGCTAAGCTAAAGCTAGAGCTAAAGCTAAAGGTAAAGCAAAAGCTAAGCTAAAGCTAAACTCAAGCTAAGCTAAACTAGGCTAGGAAAAGCTAAGCTAAGCGAAGCTAATATGAGATATGCCAAGCTAAGCTAAGCTAAGCTGCGCTAAGTTAAGCTTAGGTGGAGCTAAGCTAAGCTAAGCTAAGCTAAGCCAAGCCAAGCCAAGCTAAGCTAAGCTAAGCTAAGCTAAGATGATATAAGCTAAGTTAAGCTTGGCTAAGCTGGGTGAACCCAGGGGGCGCAACTGGGGGAACCGCGGGGCAGGGACTGGGGGAACCGCCCGGGGCGCTTTCCACTGCCCGGCCCCTTTAAGCTAGAGAGTAAGAACCCTTCTAGGCAGAGCCTAGGTAGGGAATGAGATCGATTTTTTCGAGATCGATCATGAGATCGACAGGTGTCCCGTGGTGTCCCGTGGTGTCCTATGGTGTCCCGTTGAGTGAGATCGATAGTGAGACCGATAGTGAGATCGAGAGGTGTCCCGCGGTGTCCCGTGGTGGCCCGTGGCGTCCCAAAAAGTGAGATCGATAGTGAGATCGATAGTAAGATCGACAGGTGTCCCGCCGTGTCCCGTGGTGTCCCGTTGAGTGAGATCGATAGTGAGATTGGTTAGATCGACAAGTGTCCCTCGGTGCCCCGTGGTGTCCTAAGGTGTCCCATTGAGTGAGATCGATAGTGAGATCGATAGTGAGACCGATAATGAGATCGAGAGGTCTCCCGCGATGTCCCGTGGTGGCCCGTGGTGGCCCATGGTGTCCCATGGTGTTCCGTTGAGTGAGACCGATACTGAGATCGACAGTGAGATCGACAGGCGTCCCGTGGTGACCCGTTGAGTGAGATCGATAGTGAGACCGACACTGAGATCGATGTGGTGCACCGAGGTGTCCCTCGGTGTCCCGTGGTGTCCCGTTGAGTGAGATTGATAGTGAGATCGATGTGGTGTCCCGCGATGTCTCGTGGTGTCCCGTGGTGTCCCGTTGAGTGAGATCGATAGTGAGACCGATAGTGAGATCGAGAGGTGTCCTGCGGTGTCCCGTGGTGGCCCGTGGTGTCCCGTGGTGTCCCAAAAAGTGAGATCGATCATGAGATCGATAGTGAGATCGACAGGGTCCCGCCGTGTCCCGTGGTGTCCCGTTGAGTGAGATCGATAGTGAGATCGATTGAGTCAGATATTGGTTCCCCCCCTCTCCCCACCCCCGCACAACCTCCTTATCACCCGAAGGGTGGTCGTATAGGTATGGATATGATTTTGAGATCGTCCCCAGCATTTCCGCTCCATTCCGTTATCTTGCCATCTTCCCCCTCATCCTCCTCCTACTCCCCTCCCGGGCTAGCGCTCTGCATGGTTGAGTCCCCTTCCTGTCAACCCCTGCACTCCAGTGCCTAGACTCAGAAATTTGTACGTGCACCTGCAGGCACGCCCTTGTACGTACGACTGCTCCAGCTCATACACTGACACCAGGCTGCGCTCGATCCCGCATCCGTCCCAATACTGACACAAGCGCTCGATCCTGCCCGCCCTTACACAAGCACCCCTCCCTTCCAGTCGTTCTCAGACCTCTTGTTGGGATACCTCGTGCGGGCGTTGCATGCGGCAAATCCGCCGACGCTGTCGGCGTGTGGGAGACGCTCTTCCGTTTGATCCATCGTCGTCGACGTCGTCGCCGTCGCCGTCGCCGTCGCCGTCGCCGCTCCCTTCCGTTTCCCCGGGCCCTCCTCTTCAACCGCCAGCTACACGGAACTTGAGAACCGTCACGGTTCAGTCGAAGAGAAGACCTTCCTTTTGATTTCTTTCCCGAGGGGGGTTGGGGCAGGGGGTGGAGGGTGGTGGGAGGGGAGTGGTCCGGGGTCAGAATACCCCCCCCTCGGAGTCCTGGGGGGGTCGCCAGCGGGGGTCGGGGGGCAGGTCCCGGCGGCACCTGCCGCAAGGCTTTCCCGATATGAGATCTTAACTCCATGGGGGATTCACGTACAGTGCTGGATAAACTCTCAAGAGCAGCACCAACAACAAACAGTACGCAACAGTGTGAGAAGAACGTGTCATAAGTCGCGCTCATGGTTGGTGATATAACTTCGAGGTGAACGCACAAAAGTCGGATTGAGATGACGGTGCATACTGTTTGGGGAGAGTCGCGATGGTTTATTCATTAAGACAAATTACTACGTTGCCCTTTCCTCCACCTCCCCCATGCGCACAACAAACCGCGACCACCAGAGCGTCGATTTCTTTTTCTCATCGAAAACGCGATCACGGGCCCGATCGGGGAAGCCGTGCCGTCAGGTGCCGGCACAACACACGGCCACTGCGGAAGCCGGCACCCGAGCTGCGTCGAAGCTCGGGCCATCGAAACAGTTCCTGGTCGCCTCGCGGCGGCCTGCTGCCTCTGTCGTGGGCAGACGTCGGACCGGCCCCCGCTGTGGGGTGCCGCCGTGCTGCCAGTGAAACACGTGGCAGAAGGCAAGGACACGCACACGGCTGGACAAGTTCGAGGGCGAATCCGAGGTGGCCCCACCGCGACGGCAGGAGGCATCAAGCCTCCGCAGCAGCCATGATTTTTGGCGTGCTCTACACGCGCAAACTGGGCCAGGGGGATCGAGACAGCTGGCGTCTAATTGAAAGGCCCCTGCGTACAATGCGCCTTGCCCTAGCCGCGCCAGCTGGAGTCTCATGCGCACAGCGCGAGGTCAGGGAGGACGAGGAGAAAGAAGAGCAAGAAGACCAAGAACAGATGTGATCACTCGGGCAGAGACGGGCTGCGCAGAGCGCGTGCGGACCTGCGGACCAGGGCAGCGGGCGAGACTTAGGAGGCTGGCCCACACGAGGGGCACCCGAGCTGAACCGCGACCAGGATACAGCTCTTGAGGCTGGCTTGCAGCTCTGGCCCTCTGGAGGACGCCCCATTGGCGAATGGGCCGAAAACCACCAGAGCGTCAATGAGTATTTCCGCCGCGCAGGAGCTGCAGCCGATGCATGGTGACTGCGCTGCTCGAGGGGATATTGGCCGAAACTGGACAAGTTGGAGCTCGCGCAAGAACAGAACCTTGACAGCGGGCTGAGGAGCAAACCCAGTGCGTGCGACATCGTCAGACTTCTGAAACAGGAAGACAGCACGCTCCTGTCAAGAGCGGCTCCGCCGCCTCCAATGGACGAAGCAGAGTTTTCTCTTCGGCTCTACATCCGCCCTATGCGGGCGGCAGCAGCCGCTTCTCAAGGACAACGTGCGCGCCTCGGCTCGCGCCGTTGACGAGCTGCGTCAAACGCACGTCCGCGCACACCGAGAGCAGCATGTACGCGTCGGGGCGCGCGAGCCGAGGCCGCAGCTCGCTCAGCCAGTCCAGCATCTCCTCGAGAGCCAAACTCGCAGCCTCGTCGACCCCCCTCGCGCACGCCAGCGTGATTAGGCTCGCGTCGCTCTCTGCGCGCGGCCGCCTGAGCGGCGCACGCACTGGCGTCCGCGACGCGGCCACCCGCCAGGGCGGAACCTGCAGCAAGGGCGCCTCCTCTGCCAGGGCAGCCTTGATCACGGTCAGCCGAAAGGCGCCTGACATGCTCGTCTCGAGGGCAGTGCCGCAGCATTCGCCGTCTCCCTGCCGCGCGTGGCCGTCGCCGACGTAGAGCAGCGCTCCAACCACGTGCACTGGCAGGTAGAGCGTAGTCCCCTCGACGAGCTCCTTGCAGTCCAGGTTGCCTCCAAAGCTGTCGCGTGGCTCCCTCGACGATTGCCGACCGAGGCCTGGCGGCGGAGCGGTGCCGAGGATACCGAAGAATGGCCGCAAGTCCAGCTCCCCGCCCCACGGCGGACGGCCAACTCGTGCAGACGGGTCGAGCCGCGTGTGCCTGACACGAGCTGGCTCGGCCGCCTCAAGAGCGCCGCCGTACGGCCGCGCCATGGTCCACGCCCAGTTGGAGCGCAGGGCCACCTCGAGGATGTCCACTCGCAACACGTCGCCCGGCGCCGCGCCTCGCACGAAGATGGGCCCGGTGAGGATATGCGGCCCCAGGCGGTCGGTCACCTGCTCGTGGATCGCGAGCAGCTCTGGAGGTATGCTCCAGCCGCCGTCCGCCTCGCAGGGCAGACACTCGGGGCCACCGTTGACACAATCAACAGCGACCGTCGCACCATCTGGCACGACGAGCTGCACGGGGCGTCTCGCGTCAAGGTAGCCCCAGGCGACCGAGCCAGGGTGGCACAGCAGCCGGTACTCACACTGCCTCTGAAGCACTGGGTGCGGCGCTGCACCCGCCGCCATCGAGGATGGCGGGAACGCAAGTGGGCAATACAGCGGCGGCTCGCCGGAGAACTCGCATCGGAAGAGGAGGCGCTCGTATGCTTGCGCGTCGAAGGGCGACGCCGCGTGCAGCAGCATCCGATCGTCGAGGACAGCACAATCCACCGCCACTCGAACCTGGACTCCCACTCCCGACCTGGCAATCCAGGGGGTCCAGGCTGGGAGACGGGTGCTTCGGGGGCCCGAACACCACCCTCACCCCCAGCCAGGAGGCCTGGACCACCAGGTCGGGAGTGGGGGTCCTGGCTGGGGGCTGGGGGTGGGGGTGGGGCTGCGCTGTCCCCAATTGTCCCATAGCACAAAGTCGCCGCGCACCCACTGGTGCGCGTACTCGCCAGACGCGATGACACGCCGCGCCAGCTCGCGCACGAAGTCGTGGCCCTCGTCGGCGACGTCGGCGCCGACACACTCGGGCCAGCCGGGCGCGAGGCGAACCACGGCCCGGGTGTTCGTCGGTTCGGCGGCATCTCACGGGAGCCTCCCATACCATCTTGCTGGCTCTTGCGACTCGACGCTAACCGACGCTAGTCGATGCCAACCGGCTCAACATCGTCGCCAAATCGGCGCTTCCGTATCGACTACCGAAAGCTGCCTGACGCAAGTGCACTCGAAAGACGGAGGCACGAGGGCATGCAGAGCTCCCATGACTTGCTGCCGAACTCTTCGGGTTGATGAAGAGCCCGCGCTTGCCCGTGTCTGGGTGCGTGCGCACCAGCGGCCATGCCACGTCGGGCTTCGCAGCGACGTCCTCGGGCGTCACCTTTGGCCGACCGGGGTCGCGCGCCTCGAGGAGGCGCATGAAGGCCTCCCACGAGTGGACCGCCGCGAGGCCTAGGGCGACGACATCCACACACACACACACCGCTCCCCAGCCAGGCCAGTCCTGAACCCAGCAGCGGTGTATGCGCCACGCCCTCCTGGCGTGGCCAGGAAGGCGCCCACGCAGCTCCTGGGCCCAGGAAGGGCTCGGCCAAGGGGCCGTGGATCGGAGGCTGATGGGTCAGGTCGCAGCGGAACGGAGGGCCCCCCAACGGGAAATCGGTTTCGGTTTCGTGTCGTGCGTGCGGGCGAGGCGAGGCTGCGTGGGCGCGCGAGAACCGTGATCCCGCCGTCGTCGCCAACTCGAGGTCGCGCCACCAGCATCGTGCAGCATCGTCATCATCACACCCATCGCAGCTGCCAGCAGCTGGCTCTTTCCCATCCCCCGAACCTCCTCGCCACAGGAGGAGGAGAAGAGGAGGAGGAGGAGGAGGAGAAGGAAGAGGAGAAGGAGCAGGAGCAGGAGGAGCAGGAGGAGGAGCAGGAGAGGAGGAGGAGGAGGAGGAGGAGGAGAAGGAGGAGGAAGAGGAGGAGGCGGAGGAGGAGGAGGAGGCGGAGGAGGAGGAGGACGAGGAGCAGGAGGAGGGGAGGGTACGGATTTCGTCGCCCAAAGGCCGTCCAGCCGCACACGCTCGGCCTCGCCCAGCTGCTCGTAGAGCCGCGCGCACGAGGCGAAGCGGGTGGCACCGCCGACCGGCGGCAGCGCGCCCTCCTCGTCGCGATCGGCGAAGCGAAGGGGCGCGTAGAGGGCAATCGCCGTCTTTGGTGCTCCGGGGGAAGAAGGAAAGAGTGCGCACTCTGGCTTTCACGATCAAGAGAGGAGGGGTCTGACCTGGGGGGGGGTCGGATCTCACCGTTTTGGAGGGTTCCAGGCGGTCTGGGCTCAAGGCCGCCCTTGCATGGCTGATCTGGGGAGGGTCTGAGCTGGTTCGCCTGGGAGGTTTGTAGCCCCCATTCTTCCATCATGAAATTCGGAGTAAACATAAACTTTCCACGGTCCACACGGACTTCTTGGATCGGCGATGGGGCCTCCCTCCCTGGCGCGTGGAGCGCGCCAGGGGTGGCAGCGGATGCGCCGCCAGGGGGGTCCCAGCGCCGATCCAAGAGATCTAAGCGGACCCTCCAAAAGTTATGTTGATGCACGCGTTTCTTTTTCCAGCCGAGGAAGCTTCCGTCGGTGTGCCACTCTTCGACCACGTTCATGGCCGGCTTGAACTCGCCGATCTGCTCTCCCTGAAGGCACTCGACGCCAAAGTCAAAGTCGCGCCGCGCGCGGTAATTGCCCAGCAGCGAGAGGTACGGGTGCCCGCTGACGCCCTTGGACTGGCCGGGCCAGCGGTCGTAGCGGAGAGGTGCGCCGAAGTAGGGCGCGAAGCGGAAGAGCGCTCGCTGCAGATCAGGCGGTGGGAGGTCCTGGCCGCGGACGACCAGGACGCCGTGCGCTTCGAAAAGCGCCTCCACGAT